ATCTACCTTTGTCTCGTGTGTGGCAACTGTGTCCATTGAGTGTGAAGACGATGTTTGATGTATGCACATCTGCGTGAGTTGGTCCCCAGGACCCATGCAATGTTTACAATTACGGGATTAAACAGTTCTCTTTTTTGTTTTGCTTTTCCTTCTTTCCCCTTTTTTGTTCGGTGCACGGGCGATGCTAAGTAAAAAAAAAAAAGAAAAAAAAAAAAAATGGGGCAAGTATTGTTCGTTTTTTAATGGATGTCACCCGAGGACACTGTTAGGGCATACTCACACTGGGACTTTTTCTATCAAGCTTTGGACGTGATTCAAGTCAGATCCGTTCAGGTCTCGCTGTGAATGCGATCAGATACATGTAGGAAAGGGCTAGTTGTGAGAATGCCCTTAAAAATATTAAAAGTATCTGACCGGAGCTCCGGTCAGATACATACGTGCACAGACATCTTCTTCAGAGTCCGAAAGAACAGTACCTCAAGGCCGGAGCTCCGAACGACATATCTATTCTCTCTCTCTCTCTCTCTCTCTCTCTCTCTCTCTCTCTCTCTCTCTCTCTCTCTCTATCTATCTATCTATCTATCTCTCTCTCTCTCTCTGTGTCTGTGTGTGTGTGTGTGTGTGTGTGTGTGTGTGTGTGTGTGTGTATATATATCTATATATCTATATATCTATATACATCTATGCATATCTATGGATGACGACACGGTCGCTACTGGGTTTCTCTCTCCCGCTTGAGACTTGATCTAAAACCGTGGTGAGCACAGGTGATCCCAAGAGGCTGTAAAGCAGGCCTCCGGNGGTTTCTCTCTCCCGCTTGAGACTTGATCTAAAACCGTGGTGAGCACAGGTGATCCCAAGAGGCTGTAAAGCAGGCCTCCGGCTTGCTCTGTCGCCGTTGCTTTGTCGTACGTAGCTGCTGTTCGATTTCCTTGCGTCACTCACCTAGGTGTTGCAGCCTTTCTCGTCTGAGCCATCGGGGCAGTCGCGTTTGCCGTCGCAGCGGCCTCCGGTGACACACCACTTGCCGTAGCACTTGACACTGCCTTCGGGGCATTTGTACCGCTTGCAGAACCCATGCCTCTCGTCACTCCCGTCTTCACATTGCTGCACCCCGTCGCAATAATATCCAGAGATAAACTGTGTCATATCACTTCGGCAAGTGATGCGCCCGCTTGCGGCCAGCAGATTGCGTGTTTTCTCCGATGTGCAAAACTCCGGCTTTTCCTCTTCGCCCTCGTAGCAGTCTCCCTGATCTCCGTTGCAGAGCTGGCTGACGGTGGTGCACCAGACGTAGGCTGATCCTGGGCAGTTCACGTAAGGATACAATGCAAAAGGAGAAGCCAAGGAGCAGTTGTGCCGTGTGCGACAGAAGACAGGGTCCTCGTCCGACTTGTCAGGGCAGTTCTTCACTCCATCGCAGAGAGACGTTCGGCTGATGCAAGTGACCCCGTCCTTGCACTTAACTTCACCGTCGGAGCAATTGTATGTGCGACAGAGAGTGGGATCCTCGTCGGAGCCGTCCCTGCACTGCTTCACGCCGTCGCACCTTGTGAACCAAGCGCACTCCTTGCCGCTCGGACACAGGGAATAGCCATACTCTATGCAGGCAGACTCGTCGCACCGCTTTTCGTCCGTTCCCCCTGGGCAATCTTCCACTCCGTCGCACATCTGACTCGACAGGATGCAGGTGCGGTTACTCCCNGCAGACTCGTCGCACCGCTTTTCGTCCGTTCCCCCTGGGCAATCTTCCACTCCGTCGCACATCTGACTCGACAGGATGCAGGTGCGGTTACTCCCGCCTGCGCATTTGACTCGACCGCACGGACAGTCCATCTTCTCGCAGAACTCCCCCTCGTCATCGCCGCCGGGGCAATCCTTCTTACCGTCGCACATACGCTCGCCACTGATGCACCTGCCGCTTTCGCATTGAAACAAGCTGCAGCGAATAGAAGGGGAGCATCCGCGCTTCTTGCAGTACTTGTCGCGCTCATCGCTTCCGCCGTCGCCAACGCAATCGACAACTCCGTCGCACAGCTGCGCCTCAGTCACACACCCGCCCTTTCCGCCGGGACACCTCCGCCTGTGCTGTGGCGGCGGAAGAAAATCCTGCTGCGGCACGTTCGTGTTGCAGTCGTACGAAGCGCAGAAGGTGGGGTCTTCGTCGGACCCGTCCGCGCAGTCCTTCACGCCGTCGCACAGGTGCTGCGTGTAGTCATACCACTGGTAATCATAGCCTGTGGTTACGTTCATACACATCCGTCGACTGGGACAGCTGTCCCGGCCCACAGCTACACAATCGAAGGACTTGCAGTGGTGGCCCTCGTCCGACCCATCCGCGCAGTCCTTGACACCATTGCACTCCTGCTCTGGCTTGATGCACTGCTCGATGCCGCTCATGCATCTCTTGAAGCCGCGGAAGCAGTAAAACTTGTCCCGACCCTCCTTCACGCCGTTGCTCTCGTCTGGCGGGGGTTGAGCCGAAGCCGCACAGCTGTCTGCCGCAATGCAGAGCAACAGGACTGCCAGGCCGAGCCTCAGCGAAACACCAGAGACGCCCTCTTTCCCCCTGCTGAGGGGAGAGGAGGAGGAGGTGGTTGCCTTAACCAACCCCATACTCTCCTTGTTTGCGCCGTGATTAGTACTAGGGCTAGGGAACCGACGCGGTTGGCTGGTTGGTTAGCGTTATAAGAAAGCAGCTAGTATGCAGAGGAAGAGGAAGAGGGACGGCTATGGCGGTGAACCACGGCAAATGCATACAGTCAATGAAATGATGAAGAGGAGTGGACAAGGGAGGGGAGGGAGGTTAAGAGGAGTGAGACGGAAAAATGAAACAGCGCACGTCGATAAGGGGACAGGACTGCGATCATGTTAGAATGCTTCCCCATCTGCTTTCCCCTTTTTGTATCGGAGTCCCTCGGGACATCCGTTAAAATTGGAACGGTACAGAGAAGGGTAATTAACATAAATGGCCCCTGCGCAAGTAAGGATGACACGCATAAATCGAGAAATGGTCCTTCCTTTTTGTATCGGACTTTCATGTACGATTTCACCTGCCTCTTGTTTTTCGCTTTCTAAACAGGCGGGGACATACCTTTCTCGGCCTTTTGGCTGTTTTTGTGTAGTTTCTGTTCATAAGTAGAATATAAAAAAAAAAAAAAAATAGATAAAAATGGCGGGGAGATCTATTTCTTTTCCTTCCTAAAAAGGCGGGGAGAGCCCTTTTTTCTTTTCTTTTTTTTTGCTTTCTGAATCCTTAGGTGTCCAGCGCATCACCTGGGGCGTGGTCCCACCAGCA